GAGACCGCGAAGCTGGCCACTGGAGCCCCTGCAGAATATCGACAGCGCGATGAACGGGCGGCGTATGTCCAAGGCGGGAATTTATACATGACCACTGCCTGGAGGGTCAGTTTTCGGAGCCTCGGCAGGCGGTGGATATGGACATTTTCGGGCCCCCCGGGGCCGAAATATATCCATATCCACCGCCCGCTGGGGCACCAGGACGTCGGTTCCCAGGCGGTGGATATGGATAAATCCCCGCCTCGCAGTATGAAAGGTCATTCCTTGCCGCGCTTTTCGTGGGTCGTAAAGGCAGGGGGATTTGGGGGTGCTCGCTTTCACTGTGCCGGAGATCTGAACTTAAGCGTTTTGGGGGGCTTCTCGGGGCCTCTTGAAAGCTTCTCGAAGGGCCCTTGGGGCCACTCGCGAGGGTGTCCTCAGAGCTTCTTGGGAGCTTCTCGGGGATTCGTTCACTGCCCAGCTTGGGAGCAGTATGGTTAAAATGAAGCTCTCGCGCGAGACGTACTCATCAAATGGAGATGTTAAGTTCGTTGGCGAAGCCTTCGGATCTTCGATCATGACACTCTCGCCTGAGACATCATCAGAACCATGAGTTGTTGAAAGGGCTGTTGTACAACACAGTTTTGGGGCGCTCTTGGATGACTCACAGCACGGCTTACGTTTACCACCATCGTAAAACAAAGTGTGCTGCAACATCTGCGTTCAGAGCTCTGCGTTTTGAAGGCGTCTTGGATGCAGTTTGTTTTGGGGGCGCTCTTAGAGGACCCCCAAGACGGCTGAATATGTAGGATCATGGAACAACAAATTGTTGGGCAACATTTACGTTCAGAGCTAAGCAGTTTGGAGACATCTTGGAGGCAGTTTGGTTTGGGGGCGTTCTTGGAGGACCCCCAAGACGGCTGAATCTGTATAATCATGGAACAAAGCATTTTTGGGCAACATGTACGTTCAGAGCTAAGCGGTTTGGAGGCATCTTGGAGGCAGTTTGTGGGCCTCTTCGGGGGCGTCTTCTTGGAGGCGTCCTGGAGGCCTCTCGGGGGCGTCTTGGAGGGAGTTTGGGGCCTCTTGGGGGCCTCCCCGGAGCCTCTTGGGGGCCTCTGGGGGCCTCTTGAGGGCCTCTGGGAGCCTCCTGGGGGATCTTGGAGGCCTCTTGGGCCATCTTAGACGCTGTGAAAGCTAAGCAGGCAAATCTGCAACAAATAATGTTTCCCGCTGGGAATGGGACGATGTTTGCCTCTTGGGGCCATCTTGGAAGGCCTCTTTGGGGCCACTTGGGGCGTCGTGGAGGCTTGTAGAGCCGTCTTGGCGCCATCTTGGTTGTCTTGGCGCGATCTTTCGGCGACTCGGGGCCCTCCTGGAGCGTCTGGGAGCTCATGTGGGCCCTCTTGGCCAGTTTTCGGGCCTTCTGGGCCCGTTTTGGCCATCGGGACGAGAGGGTTCGGAGGACGGGCGAGCGCAGGGGACAGTGGATGATCCATGGAACGTCCTTCCCCACACTTCGTATTTGGATATATTTCTTTGCCTGGAAGGCCAAAGAACGCAGGGACCTGGTGACATAAATGAACGCATCTTGGGCTCGATGCGCCAGGGGGCCCTAACTACTGCTTCGCAATAAGCGAAAGGGCCCGACACATACCCACCGCTGCAAGCGCGGTGGCGGATTATTACGACGAGTACTACACAGCGGCGTCCCACGACCGGTGGCAGGAGCAGTGGAAGCGGTGGGCCCCTAACCCCTTTGCCGGCGTTCTGCTGTTGTACGCCCAGATGAAGGACGTCCACAACAGGCCCTGGGCCCCAGGCATGGACCACGCCTACAGGTCCTGCGGGTACGCGGACTACCGGCCTGGCTACTTCTACGTGGCCGCGGATGACCAGCTCATCGAGGTACAGAACGCGGCCTCGGATGACCCCCTGATAGGCGCAGTGTCGTTGCCGGCACGATCGACTGAAGTGCCGCGGCGACCGTGCACAAAGCTAGGGCGATGCTCTAAAGCGGCGTCTTGATGATTTTCCCAGAGCTCTCTGAACCTGTAGAATGCGACAATACGGTATTGTAATCGAGTGGCCTGCGGCAAAACCCGCTACCGTGCCAGCGCAGCATCGACACGTTTCGAGGACGGTTCTGCTGAGCTCTCCCGAAATGGCTCGGTATCACCATCTTCGGACCGTCTGGACACCGCCACGTCTCTCCGTTAGAGAGGCGTGACCACGATTAACGTGGGATGGTTCGACAGTGTAACGCTAATTAACCCAAAAAGGTCCCGACAGGCCATGCAAGCATGCTCCCAGAGTAGCCCCAAAAGCACGTTGTTGCGTGGCCGCTTGAGGTCTTGATGGGGACTTCCGGGGGCTTCCTCGGACCCTCTTGGAGGTATCGCTGGGGCCTCCTGAGAGCCTCTTGGGGGCTTCCTGGGACTCCCAGGGCCATTTGGGGCGCGCTGGTTCCACCGACCTACTCGAGAGGCTTGAAGTCCACGGGTGAGGCCTTTGGGGGCCTGTTGGGGACCGCCTTTGGGGGCCTCTTTGGGGCCTCTTTGGGGCCTCTCGGAGGCCTCTTGGGGCCCTCCTGCTGGCGGTCTCGGGGGTCCTTTTGAGGCGGGGGGCTCGGAATGCCAATTCGAGTTGCCCCTCTTCGGCCCCTCTTGAGGCCCTGTTGGTCCCAAGACGGCCGAAGAGGGCCCCAAGACGGTTCAAGAGGTGCCCAAGCTGGCCCTAGAGAGCCCCAACAGGGCCTCAAGAGGGGCCGAAGAGGGGCAACTCGAATTGGCATTCCGAGCCCTCCGCCTCAAAAGGACCCCGAGACCGCCAGCAGAAGGGCCCCAAGAGGCCCGGAGAGGCCCCAAAGAGGCCCCCAGAGGCGGTCCCCAACAGGCCCCCAAAGGCCTCACCCGTGGACTTCATCCCTCTTCTGGAGGTCGGCGGAATGGCGCAAGTCTTTCGAATAGGTCGGTGGAACCAACGCGCCCCAAATGGCCCTGGGATTGCCAGGAGGCCCAAAAGAGGCTCTCAGAGACGGTCCCCAAGAGTCCCCCAAGTGGTCGCACCCGTGGACTTCGTCCCTCTTCTGGGGGGTCGGCGGCACGGTGGAGAAGCCCCTTGAACAGGCTCGATGGGATCCTTTCGGGGCCGTCTGGATGGGTGCCATGCTTCCTCCTCCTCCTCCTCCTCCTCCTCCTCCTCCTCCTCCTCCTCTTCCTCCCCCTAATTGCCTGCTTCGCACGCTCGCCGTTTCACCCAATAGTCTCCGTTTCATCATTTCTGCCAACGCACCTCTGATGTGCACGGTTTTTGTCTGTCTGGGACAGCTTGGGGCCAGCCTTGGGTACATCTTGGGGGTCCTCGAGCCGTCTCAAGGCGTTCTTTGGGCGGCCTCGGGTCGTCTTGGGAGCCTCTTTGGGGCTCTCCGGAACTGTCCCAAGGGGGTCCTTTGACCGACTTCGGCCAGTCTTGGAACATCTTGCAGTCTTGGGGTGGTCTTGGGCTGTGCTTCCGGTATTCTCTGGGCTTGCCGGGCAGAGCGCCTCTGAAGAAAGCAACAGGGTTGCGATTTCCCGGTATGTTCCGCTCCGAGGGGGTCCGCACGTAGAAAGATACAGGACACTAAGCAAACGTCCCACGGTCATTGGCGTACGCCCCGACTTGCCGTTTGCACGGCGGCGGGTTTGGCAGTCGAGTCGCTGGAATCAAGCCGTGGCTTTCAGCCGGGCGGAGCGGCGGCCAGACAAAAACAGCATATTCCTCAGCCAGTTGGCTTGGGATGGGATGGTGCCAATATGGTTGTCACAGGTTGTCGTTGGCCAGGACACGCGCAGGCACCCTGGCAATCAGAAGGCATACGCGCGATGGTGCAGTAGTCTACAGTGTCGTTTTTTTTGCGGATCATGTATTAAAATACAGGGAGGTAGCATTAAAAACAACGATGAGCTCATGCATTAATTTATTTATAAATTAATCATGCGTTAATTTGTTCTATAAGTCCTGTGTATTAAAAACTGCCCTGTACGAGCGTGGCCCAGCAGACACCTCTGCATCAGTGTCGTCTGTACGTGGCAGCTGATAGTATCAACGGTGCGAGTAAGTTATGAAGCATCACCTGTATCATGTGCGCTGAGCATGCTGGCAGTACCTACGTCCGGTGTTCGAACATGTGTTGTTGTGCAGATCACTTAGTCGTAAAGTTATAGCTCCATGCTGTAATACTCGCGTGGGCGGCAGCGCGCTGCTCCCCACCGATGTGGGCCTCTCTTTGATGACGCCGATCTGCTAGTGTCTTTCATGTTCGGTTTCGAGCCATCGCTGAACGCGTCACTGAAGCCAGGAACACTTGTCAAATATGTGTTTGTCTTGACGTAGATTTCTCTATCCAAGGCGGCTCGCACCTTGGCACCGCTTGCCTGCCCCCCTGGATTCTGACCAATTACATTTAGGCAAGCTCAGGCAGCCTCCATAGATCACCCAGAGGCTATTTAGGAGGCTCGCCGGAGGTTCCATGATGGAGCACCGGGGCTTCAGGGTCAGCCGGGGGGACCTCCAGCAGCCCCCTTGTGAGTTTTAGTAATTTCTGGGAGGGTCCCACGGGGTAGGTATTTTTCAGGGGAGGAATTGGCCCTGGGGGAAGGCCCTGGGGTCCACAACTAGTTTCCCTCAGGACCTGTTTGTTTCATGCCAGTCGATCATGATTCATGATGTTATGATGTTGGTTAGGATGAGGAGGAGGAGGAGGAGGAGGAGGAGGATGATACTGATGTTGATGCTGATGCTGATGATTATGATGATGACGATGCGTTCGCTGCAAATGCTATACCAAGGTACTGGGCAGTGACTTGTGCGAGCTCGGCGGGGACTTTGCACGATCCCCGCTGTACACTTGCTGTGCTTGCTGATTGTTTCATGCCAGCCTTCTTCGAACTTCCTCGACCTCCTCCGCGACTTCTTCTGAGCTTCCTCGGCCTCCGCCTGCGGCTCCCGCGCGAGCTCCCCCCCCAGCAGCTGCCGAGGTATGCTTTCCCCGCGAGGTCCGGGGTGCTCGCCGTGCCGCGCTCGAGGACGCTCTCGGGCGTCGAGCTGTATGCGGGGGGCAGCGGCGCCCGCACCCGCCGACCCCGGGGGACGAGAGCGAGTCGGAGGAGCAAGAGGCCATGGTAAAGATGCGCGTCATCATGGTATCAGAGTGAGGGGGCCGAACGGTCATTCAGTGTCCCTGGGTGCGTGGCTGAAGTGAGGATCCGTGGTGAGGATTATGCTTGTTGCGTTTTTGTTGTTGTTGTCGTTGTTGCTGTTGAGTTCTCACTTCTGAAGAACAATTATTGTTGATCCACCCCGTCCGGTGCACATTGTTTTTTTTTTCGATTGAAGTGCCCTTCCCAGGGCTCACACCTTGTTTTTTTATCAGGGAAAGTCTTGAGGGTCAAACTGTGTCGTTGGCCCCCGGTTTACAACAACAGCGGCTCCCACCTGATATTTCCTCACAACTTATTGAAGAATCGCGCTCTCGCTTGCGACTTCCCTGCAATTTACCACCGGATCGCGGCTCCCGCTTGATACGCCCCCACGATTTATAGAAGAATCGCGTTCTCGCTAGGGGCTTCCGCGTTCCTCTCGACACCTCTGCAGTTCTCACCATCCTTCCGCCCCACTTTCCCTTTTCAGGGTTCCACGAAATTTGTTTCTGACACCAGTTCGCAGCTGTACGTTCCCCCGTGGGGGTATCCACGATATGTTCTTTCAGTGGGGTGGTACGTGGCGCTGTTTATGGCGCGACCCATGTCGAAACTTATTGCGAACCTCTGTTGGAGTGGCTGGCGCCAGCCATGGCGAAAGCTGAATCGCCACTCACAGCGCAAGTCATCGTCCTCCCTCCTTCTTGCCCCCCCCCTCCCTTCCTCCGATCCCTTCGTCCTCACTCTCCCCCGTTACCTGTTACCCTTCGTTTTCAAGGGTTTCACTAACCACGAGTGGCAGGGAATGAATATACCCCCCGAAAGGTGGCACGATCGAAAACGAAGAAGGCGGGTATCCAAGGTTTGGGATATGCATATTGAATGACACGCGAGCTGATATGAGCGAACAGTCTTAAAGTGATTGTTGTTGTTGTTGTTGCTGTTGTTGTTGTTGCTGTTGTTGTTGTTGTTGTCGTTGTCGTTGTTGTTGTTGTTGTTGTTGTTGTTGTTGTTGTTGTTGTTGTTGTTGTTGTTGTTGTGTTTGTTTTTGTTGTTGTTGCTGCTCTTGCTGTTGTCGGTAAGGCGTTGACACTGGCCCCGGCTTGTTGTTGAGATCTTCTGTTTCTCTCAAAACTCAAGCGCTTATCTGTAAGGGTAAGCGAAGCTCCAGCAACCGAGGGCTTGCACCACGGGGCCAGAGAAGGGGTTGGCACTGGGGCGACAGCGCAAGGTGCCCCACGGGGCCGGAGAAGGGGTCGGCATTCCTGGCGCGTTTCCAAAGGTTTCCCCGGGATTTCCGCGAATCCCTCAGGATTCCTTTGGGTTATGAAGGGCCCCTCCGGACTTTCTAGGATCTCCAACGGTTTCTTAGGACCCCCAAGGATTCTTCAGGTTTCCTCAGGAGCCATTCCGCGGGACCCCCGAGGATTCTTCAGGATCCTCCAGGATTCTTCTGGCTCCTTCCGCAGTCCCAAGGATTTCTCAGGATCCCCCAGGAGTTTTTGGAATGCCAAGTGATTCTTCAGGATGTCCCCATGGTGTTCTCAGGATTCCGTTGGGCTCCTCAGGATTATTCAGGATATCTTTGATTTCGTCCAGATCCCCAAGGATTCCTCAGGACATTCCAGGATTCCTCAGGATCCACAATGTCTCTCCAGGACGCCTGCAGACTCCTTCGGATTCCCCATGGTTCCTCATGACCCCATTCAGGGTGCCCCTCAGGATTCCTCAGGATTCCTTAGCACTCTTCAGGATTACCCTGGATTCTTCAGGGCCCACAAGGATTCCTCAGGATCCCCCATGCTTCTTCCAGACTCATCCGGATTCCTTCGGATTCGTCCAGATTCCTTAGGGCCCTTCAGGATTCCTCTGGACTCCTCCCGAGTCCCAAGGATCCTGGGGATACCCAGAGATTCTTCTGGATCTCCCCATGAGGTTATCAGGATTCCGTTGGGCTCTTCAGGATTCTTCTAGATACCTTCGAATGCTTCAGGATCCCGAAGGATTTCTCAAGACTCCTCAGGACCCCCCAGGATTCCTCAGGACTCCCCAGGATCATCTCCCTCCAAATGAGTCCGATGGATTTTTCCTCCAGATCCACAAGGATTCTTAGGATCCCCCAAGATTCCTCAGGATGCTGAAGGCCCTCTTAGGTGTCCAAAGGATTCCTCAGGATCCCTCCTGGGTACCCCTCAGGATTTCTCAGTACGAGTTAGCATTCTTCAGGATTACACAGAATTCATCAGGATCCCCAAGGTTTCCTCTGGATTCATCAGGACTCCTCAGGATTCGTCCGGATTCTTCAGGTTCCCTTCGGATTCCTCAGGATTCCTCCCGAGGCCCCAGGGTTCCTCAGGATCCCACAGGAACCCTAGGGACCCCAAAGGATTCTGCGGGATCTCCTTCGGGTTTCTCAGGATTCCGCTGGGCTCTTCAGGAATCCTCCGGACATACTCGGATTCCTCCAGATCCCCAACGCTTCTTCTGGGCTCATAAGGATTCATTTGGATTCGTCAGGATTCCTCAGGACACCTCAGGACTCCTCAGGATTCCCGAGGACTCCTCAGGATTCCCCAGGACCCCCCCCTTCAAAAGAGTCTTACGTATTCCTCCTCAGGATCCACGATGATTCCTTAGGACCCCCCAAGGTTCCTCAGGATGCCTGAAGACCTTGAAGGAGCCCTAAGGATTCTTCAGGATCCCTTCAGGGCACCCCTCATCATTCCTCAGGACCCTTTTGCCTTCTTCAGGATTCCCCTGGACCCACAAGGATTCCCCATGATCCCGTTTGCTTCCTCTGGGATCTCATCAGGACTCCTCAGGATTCGCTAGGACTCCTGCCGACCCTTCAAGATTCCTCAGGATTCCTCCCAAGCCCCCAGGATTCCTCAGGATCCCACAGGAACCCGTGGGACCCCCCAAGGGTTCTTCAGGATTTCCCCAGGGTGTCTCAGGATCCCGAGGGGCTGCTCAGGATTCCCCAGGACACCTCAGGAATCCTCAGGACCCCCAAGGACTCCTCAGGACACGTCCGGATTCCTCAGGACCCCCAAGGAGTCCTCAGGGTTCACCAGGACTTCCCCTCCAAAGAGTCCGAGGGTTTCTTCGACGATGCCTGAATGCTCCTTACGATCCCAAAAGGATTGCTCAGGATCCCCTCAGGGCACCCCATCAACCCTTCAGGATATCTCATGACCCCTTAGCATTCTTCGGAATTGCAAAGGAATCCTCAGGACACAAGGACTCCTCAGGATCCCCTAGGCTTCCTCTGGACTTATCAGGACTCCACTGGATTCGTCAGGATCCATCAGGATTCCCCCGGATTCCTCCCGAGAGTCCAGGATTCCTTAGGACCGCACAGAAATCCTTTCTAGATTCCCCAAGCATTATTCAGGATTTCGCCAGGGTTGCTCAGGATCCTGCGGGCCTGCTCAGGATCCCTTGGGATATCTTAGAATTCTTCAGGGCCCCCAAGGATTCTGAAGAACACTTCGAGACTCCTCAGGGCTCCCGAGGACTCCTTAGGATCCCCGTCGTCGTCGTCGCCGTCGCCGCCGCCGCCGCCGCCGCCGCCGTCGTCGTCGTGAGGGTCCCTGAGGGTGTCGTAGCTGCACACGGGACCGGAGAAGGGGGTAGCGCACTGGGAGCGTTTTCTGTGGAGGGAACAGCACAGATGACGAGGCATACGGGGGCGGAGTGTACGTTTGCCCACCTTGGCGCGAAACCGCCGCAGATGGCCTCTCGCATGGCCGGACAACTCGTCGTCACACAGCGTCTCGAGCAAACAGACCCACGGGGCCGGAGTGTGCGCCCGCCCGCCGGCGGGGTGACACCGGAGGCTCCGGCCCTGACGGGGGCCGGAGTGCACGCCTTTCCGTCGTTGTTGTTGTTGAAGAATAATTATTGTTGTTCCCCCCCAGCGGTGCATATTTTTTTCTCTATCAAAGTGTGCCCCTCCACGCTCGAACCTTGTTTTTTACCAGAAAAGTCTGGAGGGTCAAACTAGCCCCTTGGCCCCCGGGTTACAGCAACAACGGCTCCCGCCTGAGACTTCCTTACAATTTAGCCAGGACCCCCGCTCCCGCCCGAGACTTCCTCGCATTTTATTCAGGAATCGCGCTTTCGCTTAGGACTTCCTTAACATTTATTCAAGAGTCGGTCTCCTGGCGCTCTGGAGTCGCGCTCTCGCTGGAGACTTGCTTGCAACTTACTGATGAATGGCCTTGCGTTGGGATTTCTTGCAATTTGCCCGAGCGCCGCGCTCCCGACACCCACGCACCCAGGAGTCGCGCCCGTAGTGGCCCCATGTGCATGCCCTTCGCGGCCCCGCTGTCGCCATTTGTGTCCCCCTCACTGTCCTACGTGGCCCAGGTGCTACCCTCAGTGGCCCCATCGTTGCCTTCTGTGGCCCCGCATTATCTGCCCTTCGTGGCCCCCGCTCGTTCGCGCTCTTCGTGGCCCCATACGCATTCCCTTCGTGTCCCCGCTGTCGCCCTTCGTGGCCTACTTCGTGCCCTTCGTGGCCCTGCTGTCGTTCTCTCTCGCTCTCGCTTTCGCTCGTCCCGTCGCCGTCGTTCTCGTCGCCGTGTCTCGACGTCGTCCGTCGTCGTCGTCGTCGTCGTCGTCGTCGTCGTCGTGGTCGGTCCCCTGTCCGTCCCTCTTGGGGTCGGGTCGACGGTCCGCGGCCGCCCCGCCGCTTGCCGGGGCCCGGCCTGCAGGGAAGAAAAGTATACCCCCCAAAAGGGGTTCGCTCGAAGACGAAGGGGGCGGGTATCGAGGGTTTGGGAAATACGCGTTACTGGACACTCGAGCATATAAGGGCGAACCGTCTTAAAATGATTGTTGTTGTTGTTGTTGTTGTTGTTGTTGTTGATGTTGTTGTTGTTGTTGTTGTTGTTGTTGTTGTT